GTGTGTGTGTGTGTGTGTGTGTGTGTGTGTGTGTGTGTGTGTGTGTGCGTGTGTGTGTGCGCCTTGATGGACAGGGTGCTAAATAGTATAGATGCCTTGAATGTGGGGCGGGGGGTGGTGGTGAGAGGCAGGCTCAGGAGGGGGTGGGGATGCAGGCATTGTTTGCAGGCACAATGCGCATGTGCAGATTCCCTGAATGCCTCATTGGCCTAAGTCCTCTCATACTGTCCTTCTGCTATTCAGCTCTGTCTGGGCTCCAGGAGTTGTTTTCCTGGACTAGACTGGTAGACCCGCCGGACAGGGACTTCAATGTTGAGGGCGCTGCCCCAAGAATCCCTATGTTGCCCCCAGTGGGTGTGTGGGTGGGAGAGATCTAATGTGTGGCTGCTAGCATAGAGGGACCCTGGATCTGGGCTCTGCAGGCACTCACTTGAAGGTGCACTCACTCTCTAGCAGGTCTAAGCACAGGGGTTCCCCTGTTCTCTACTTTCAGATTTGGGCCTTCTGGGGCAAATGTAGATGTAGTCAGCTCAGTGGTACTGCAGCCACAAAACTTAGGCTATTAAAGTAGTCCACTGGGAGTCCAGCCACAAGAGCAGAACTGGGAGGCAGGTACAGATTCCTGCTGGAAAGTCCTGAGGAGCCCCTACAGCTGTCCATGGATGAGGGTGCCCCAGTGGGCCTGGTGGAACTGGGTGTCCCGTAATGCTGGCTGCCCATCACTGAGAGACTGTGCAGCTGGCATAGTCACTGGCTCGGAGGCCCTCAGGGGCCATATAGCTGCTCGCAAATCTGGGATCCGGAAGGCTGGTGCCGTGAACCTGAGACCCAGAAGGCTCTGTGTCCTGCAGACACAGGACCTGGAAGGCTGGTACAGCTGGTAGCCACTGCTGAGGAACTAAGAGACCTACCTCTGCCATCTCAGTCCTCAGACAGGAGGTTCTGTGCTATGAGCTTTGGGTACTGTTGGGCCCTACAAAGGGAAGTGCAGGGGGGTTGAATGGTCACCACTCTCCGTCCCCAGAGAAGTCCGGTGGGTGACCTGGATCTAAATGGTCTCAGCTCACATATTGTCCCCTCTGGCCAAGGAAGCCTCAATGTCAAAGTTCTGGCTTCAGCTGCCCCTCCACTCATCAATTTTGGAGTTTCAGATCCGCTGCTTCTCAGATATTGTGCATGCTGGTTGCCGCCATCTTGGATCTCTCTTTAGACAACTTTCAGTGCACCATCCAGTCTGACATAAATGCAACATCTCACATCTCAGTCTTAGATTTTGGAACAACACATGTCACAAATGCCAAGTAAATAAATAAACAAACAAAAAATCTTATCTTTGCTTCTCTTTTGGCAGCCTTTAACATTTCAAGACTTCCAGATGAATTGGGAACCTTTGGTATACAGTTGATTCCTCTTCTTACCACTCAAGCTGAGCTATAATACTATTAAATACAAAATGCTATTTCGTTACAATACTATTAAATTATAATTACAGTTCCAATACTATGAATTACAATACTATTAAAAATATCTTCAAATGGGTCAAGGCCACTTCAAGCTCATGTCTTTCTATTACTACCAATACCTCTATGAGCCTACATGTACCCATTCATTCCTGTGTCTGTCCACTGATATAATATGTTAGTTCTTTCTTTGCCTATGTAAATTATGGGTATTTACTGAAATATATGTTTTTGATCTGTTAAAAGTAAAGGTCTTTTTTCAGGTAAATAATGTTTTCATATCACTGGAGTGTTTTTTAATTATCAAATGAAAGACATACAGGGGGATACAAAGTAAATAAAGTGTAATTAATAAAAATTAAAATAAAAAATATTAAAAAAACAAAAGACATGCATATGTATATATATATACATTTATTTCATACTGTTCAGCAATGTTTTTATAATATTTCTCATTAAAGGAGAATTAATTAAATACAGCTTAACAGTTATTTCATGTGGTATTTAAATATACGTAGATTATATTTATTGTTTTTAAAGTATATATTCATAATATGAGTATACTCTTCTCTGTCTTCCTTTGTAGGGAAACTATTTGGATTCAAATTTCCTGGTTTGAGAGTTCTAACATACAGAAAGCAGTCCTTGCCACAGGAAGACCCGGACGTGGTCGTCATTGATTCCTCTAAGCACAGTGATGACTCGGTGGCCATGAAGCATTTCAAGTCTCCCACAAAAGAAAGTTGCAGTCCCTCTGAAGCAGACGATACGAAAGCCTTGATACAGCCTAGCCAGTGTTCTCCTTTAGTGAACATATCCGGGCCTCTGGACCACTCCTCTCCCAAAAGACAATGGGACCGCCTCTACCCTGACAAGCTGCAGTCAAGTTCCCAACTAACACACTCCAGATCAAGGGAGAGCCTCTGTAGCATCCGGAGGGCATCTTCAGTTCATGACATAGAAGGGTTCAGTGTCCACCCCAAGAACATATTCAGAGATCGACATGCCAGCGAAGGTATGTAGCATGGAAACATTGTTTCATTGGGTAATGAAAATTTTTATGTTGTTTCAAAACTGAACAGTAATCTGTTTCTTCAAAGAAGAAATGCGATTAAAAGCTATTAAAAACACAAATCTCGTATTAAAGACTTTTTTTTTCTCTCATTTCCTCTTTGAACCCTAGTGAGTAATTTGATTTCTTCTGGCTTCTTTATCGGTGTTTCTGAAATAGTATAACCATTATCAGTCTGCTTCCTGGTGTGTTAATTAATTAATGCTTAATTTAAGAAGTGATTAGGCGATGAGTTCTATCATCTTAAGCATAATTAATTTTGCTGGGTTTAGCAAGTGATCACACCCTGGAAGAAAGAACAGTGAGCCCTCACACGAGTACCTTATTGACCATCAGCAGTGGGAGAGAGGTCAGAAGAAGCTAAGAAGTTAGTGGGGAACCTACTAGGCAACTTAGGAAGAGTAGTCAGAATTTACTTTCACTCTAGCCTTGGCTCACATTTCCAAAAGTGAAAAGTGTACTTTGAAAGCCATCACAGAAGCAATCCATCTTTAGTGTGAGAATGGATAGCTTGGTCTGAGTAGCTATATGCCTGAAGCAGTATGAGTGTTTGGTACACATTAAGTCTCATTTAAATCACACAGCAATCCTGTATGTTAGGAACCAGTTTCAAACTGCATTTATAGGTGAGTAAACTGCCACAGGGCAAGAAAGTATGAGGGCTAGTCCATGTTGAGGCTCCTGTGTGCCTCACTGCTTGAAAAGCCTCAAATCCAGGCAGCAATGACCCTCCTTCACTCCTATCCCAGCAGACATCACTGTAAGAAAAGGTCTGCTGAGGGTTCAAGGATTCTGAGAGTCCGAGTAACCTGCCTAGATACCCAGATGCACTTTTCCAACCCTTGCAGAACTGGATTCCTGAACAGTCCACTGTCCCTTCTCAGATCCTCATTCTCTCAAGTGCCTTTGCCACCTGAGCTATTGTGAGCTGTGTTTTCAAGAACATAAATCTGCTCATTAAGGTCCTTACTATGGTACCCTAATCACTATACCAAATGAGCCAAGATATTTTTTTAAAACTCACTCACTTTTTCAGCTCCTTTGGAGACTGCCCATACCAGGATAATTTGCTAATTCACAAAACTATTCTGCACAGCTTCCACCATCACTTTGTTCTGTGTAAATCCTCTTAGCTGCTTGCTCCCTGTTCATACTTATTACTCAGCTTCAAGCACTGGTTTCTCCCTTCCCAAACCAGAGGAAAATGATTTCCAGAATGAAATGAAACCTGTATTTTCAAAAATAGTGGATATTGTAGCATTTATTTCATTTTATGATTACCAACACATACAGACACACACACACACACACACACACACACACACACACACAAATACATACCTGTATAGACATACAGATATACATCAAATATGGTTTATGTGAAAACAAATGCCATGAGCCACCCTTGATGGGCACTCTAGAACCCATCTGCAGACTTAGCACCAAGTCCAGTGCTCTACTTATGACAGATAATCAATATCATTGCCTTGGCATTGAAAGAACCATGCACATGAATCATTTTCCAATATCATACTCATAAGGCTATAATGAGCTCCTTCCTACACATACATTGATTTAACCCAAAGCTTTTATTGAATCATGTAGGAATCTTTCTAAAGAGCACAGTGAAATAGAAAAGACAGCAGAGCTGAAAGAAAAGAAGTTGGTGGGGGTTTTGAGGGAGGATTTCAAAGAGAGATAAGATACAGAAACTGTCTCAGAACAGAAAAAATAATTTAGTATAAGACAAAGTGGAGGAACTTTGTTAAGAGAGTAATTAGCATATCCACTTTAACTTATGGTCTGACGGAAGTCAAAAGAAAAATAAAATTGAAGATAATTCCCAAGCTAGGTAATTATGATCTTGACTATTTAAAAATAGGAGGTTCAATCTTTTCTGACCAAATGAAAGCTCTATGACTGGGTGTTTGAACAATGCACCCTGTGAATGAATTATGATAAATTCAGTGGGGTTTCAAACGAACAGCCGATGCTTTAGTTTGCCCCTGCCAGTTAGAATACTCGTCTTTAGCAAACCTGCTGGATCTTTAGAGCTTTCCGTGGGAAACTGAGTTTAGGGTAATCAATTTGAAAAATCAAGTTTCTCAGACTCAACACACCCACTGTGCATGCTTTGCCTGTGTTTCGATAGAATGGCTTAGGATTGTATATTGAGTTTTATAACTTCTATTGTTTTCCTCTCAGGTGGCTTCCACACAGTACACAGTTACTGATATAGGAATGGGTGATTTGATATTTTTTAGATATCTCAGTACAGTAACTGTCTATGGATAGATAGCTCTCAGTTTTCCTCTCCTCTCTGGACTCAGCAATTCTCAGTAAAGTATCACTGTCTTGCCAATAGCAAGCCAAGTGTGTAGCTGCAGACTGATATACCCACAGGGCTTTCGACCACAGTACTTCAAACACAAAATGATCTTACCTAAAAAAAATCACAGACAGGCTTAGAAGAAACTACCATTCCTTGGGTTGTATAATTCTATATATGTGAGAAACTGAGCATAATTGGAAGAGTAGGTGGAAGACCTTCCGGTTGATTTTAGTTTTAAGAATCTTTGAAAATGATTAAGATATAAAACCCTAGATATATCAGAGTTGAAGCTGAGATTTTTCTCATTCTAACACAGTTCTGTGCTCATAAGCACTCTATTTTTACAGGATTGTCTATATTTAACAAATATATTAGCAGTTGGTATCTTACATATCTTCTCATTTATGTCTGTTGTAGAGTACCTTGGAATTTTCCTTCCCAAGACACATATTACAGAGAACTGTCCATTTTTCCAGGGATCTGTGCCAAGTTAATATTTTAAAAAAATTCAGTAAAAGTGTAGTATCATAAAAACGAAGCTAAAAGTAGATATGAAGAATGTAAACATCAATTAATTCATTACGGCATTCGAGAGACATGGAATTAGTCTGCCAAAACACTACAAAAGAGTCTAACTGTTCTCCTTTCTCTACTTTATATCTCTGGGACTATAGATGTCACAATCAATATGTGACTTTAGGCAATTTGTCCTTTAACTTCAGAACAATTTTACACCCCCCCCCCCCCCGCAAAGCACTAATTAAATAAAATCATTGGTGGGCATAGAAGAAATAAGAAATAGGGTTGGCTTATTTCTGTCTTCAAGCTCATTCTTCCTCGGCGTCAATGCCTCACGAACTCTATGCTAGCTTTGCTGCTATTGTCTTTAAAGCATCCAGGCTTAGTGAGTACAAGTGTCTGTGTGTGTGCGCACACACGTGTGTGCTTGTGGCGGGAGAACACTCTTTTAGTAGTTTTAAGCAGTGCTGGGGATCAGAAACAGTGCCACATAAATGATAATCAAGTGCTCTGCTATCAAGCCAAACTCCAGCCCCCTATCTTTTTTTTTTTTTTTTCTAACAACTTGCAAAGCAGTTACTCATGATTTTAGACTACTCTGAGGGTGGCCTTATTTCTATGTCAGCAAGATCTTGTCCCGTGTCCTTTTTTTTTTTTTTTTTTTTTAATGATTTGTGAAAGGAGAAGAGAAAATTTCCATCACAAGTCACATTTTATTCATAGACGTCAAACCAAGGCAGATTTCGCCTCGAACAATTTCATAAACCATAGTATTGGAATTACTTTCACAATAAGCTTGGAAGCGATTATGCTCTACCTTAAGATTTAGAATATGCATAGTGATGAGGTAGATGGCGATGAATGTATATGTTTCAAAATCTTGTATATTTTTGAATGGTCTGTTATGACTTCATTTAGTTTGAGCTTGTGTATTTCAAAGCTGGTAACACATATTAATTCACATTTTCAGTACCATATAGAAAACATTTAGATCACTGCTCTCAAAATAAATCTGAAAACACTCTATGCCAAGATATGAAAAAAGCCTGTTTTAATATACACAAATTTATAAACATTCTCAGTTTTATGCTGCATAGTAAAAATGCAAAATATTTTTATACAAGAAAGTCTTTCATTGCTATGTTGCAATTGCTTTTGTCTCATTAAACACAGTTTGGTATTTTTAAGGTATACAGTAAAGTACAGTTGAGGGTAAGAGGACAGTTAATAAAATTGTTCTAAATTATTGAAATTGGCTTAGTAATCCAACATCTTAGAAACGTTTTCCATACTAACATATTAAGATTTAATCACACAGAAAAATATTTGACATGCAAAACGTTGTGTGGTTTCCCCTTGATCTGTTGCAAGCTACAGTTGAGAAGACATCAAAATTGGCTTTTGGCAAGGTTGTAAGTTGCCATAATTGCCAGCAACTGTGCAGATCTTTCCCCAAAATGCTTTAATTATAAAATCTGTAACTTATCGCTGTTTAAAATCAGTACATGAGTATTTTACTTACTTGCAATGTTTATTATGGTTAATGGTTTGCTCCTTAACGGCTTATAATATTAACCTCCATCAAAAATACATTGTATTTACATCCTCATTTCTCTGATTGTTTCTACTGAGCTTGTTTGGTGTGCTTAACACAATTTTAGTCTTCTTTTTTTTATATCTCTCTCTCTTTTATCCTTATATGCTCAAAACAGACAATGGTCGCAATGTCAAAGGTAATGTATAAAGTCAAGTTTCACCATCTGATGCTTACAGTGCCCTTTACTTGGCATGTTATCTTGCCTGCTGTATGCCCTGTTGATGCTACATCTCCATGCCGCCCTCAGCTAGTCCAGGTGCCTGGTGGAGACATCATGGCTTGGTTTTGCTGGAGACATGATTACTTTCTCTGCTGTGCCATCAAAGGGATGACGAACACCTTTTTATCCTGAGCAAAAGAATGTTAAGACTGACAGTGAACGGTTCATAACTATTTGGACAGCAACAAGTACCAAGACGAATATATTCCAGTGGGAAAGAAAGCGCCTAAGCTGTTTCAGGGAATTTGTTTTTTCTTGAGTACAAGATTAAATAGAATGATCAAAGGGCTCTATAACAGCATCACTTCACTTCTTCCTCTTTTGTTTCCTTAAAACTAGTTTCACGTTCCTGGATGGCAGGGGGTATGGTTTTAAGCTTACTGTAGTAGTATACTGTTCTTGCATGACAGTCATTTTCTATTTTTCCTCTATTATATTTCAGCATCATTTTAAATTGTATTCTATATTATTCTAATCACTGCCATGGTTTACAGCTACCACAGGGTACTATTTAACTGGGAGATATTCTGGATAAATTTGGATTTGGCTAAATATTTAAAATCCAATTCAGTTTTGGCTATCACAGTAAGTGGAAGGATCAAAACTTTTGGCTTGATATTTGGCCATGCATGCCGCTGTGGGTGTGTAAATGGTGACAGTGATAAATTTTGTGCATGTATGTTGCATGACCATGTCTCCACCAGTAACCATCATTACTCAGAACTTACTGTCTCAGCCTCTTCTTTATGTCGCTGGTACTCTGACCACTGTGCAGTTTTGTGTATCGACTTCTTGACTGATTCCCTAATTAATTTGGAACTACTATTGCTGACGAATAGGACTAGAGGCTACAGATGTATTGTGATCAGAATCGCAGAATAATTTGGAAATAAGTGAGATTGTGGGATTTTTTTTTCCTTTGCCTTTCCTATCATTTATAAACACTTCAAGAAAGTTCTGTGCAAGAGACCTCCAGTAGTGGGACAGGGTCTTATCTACATTATTATTCTGTTCTTGGTCTGTCCATTTTAACATTTGAAAGGGATCAAAATAATTCTAGTTGTGGATAGCAGTTTTAGTTGACAATTCAGAATATATATATTTCGTCAAAAAGACCATGAGGACCTGTTGCCTGTTTGTTCCTTGGAAACACTAATATTTAAGATGAGTAAATGAGTATACATTGATTTTCCAGTGATTTTTTTTTAACTGAAGGAAACAGTGAATCTAGCTTTTTTTCGTTTGTCTGGTTTTTGTTATTTTTTTATTTTTAGGTGGGTAGAAATTTGGCTGAACTCAAACTGCTGGTCTAGTGGTAAGGCTATAATTCAGGGGCAGATAAACCACTTGCGTGAGTGGGCCCTTATTAGATTCCTAGCACCCAAAGAAAGAAAGAGGCATGGAACCCAGAGAGAGAAAGACAGAGAAAAAGAGCCTACCTCCAGTTCATCTATTTGTCAAAGATAAAGTCATTTTATTTTCATTTCATTAGCTATTACATTAAACCAGCCTTACTCTCAATCCCTCTGTTTTCTAAAAGAAATCCTAATCGCCTGATTGAAGCTTGTTTTGTGTGTGTGCGCGCGCACATATTTCGGTGCGCATCAGTTTTACAATTATCGTTTTTATAAAACCACAAATAGGTACAGGATGATCCGTCAGGCATGCTTGTAAAATAAATTAATACTGACTCTAAGCCTTAATCAATAAAAGAAAACTACACTGCTCTGCGTACAAAATCTATCATTACAATTAAGAACTACCCTACGAAATGAATAAATAACCTCATAGTATAGGTGAAGATTTTGCTGGACTGTCTGGTTGCTCCCCTTAGAGCTCAGGCTCTGCCTAATTCCTCCTCACAATGGGTACAGACATCTGTATTTTCAGAAAAGTCCATACATTAACTATCTTGAGAAGTCTGCTTTAGTTCCCATTTTCACAAAAAATCTAGCACTAACTTAAATCCTCCCTTCTTCCATCTGTCCCCAGTAGACAGAAATCTATTCTCTGGCTGCCGGAACTCTAATCATAAAAAATCTCACCAACGAAAGACAATAAACTATCATTCAGCCTTTTCTCCCAAAAGTAAATAATTTCTTCCCAACCTTTTTCTTCGAGTCAGTTCTGTTTCCCTTCAATTAGTTTCCCTAGCATTCTGACACCTCAAGCAACAGTTAATTGTTATTTTTAGCAGCCGTAACCCCTGTAGGAGGAGGAAAACTACTTCATAGAAATTGCCTAATATGTGTAGATAATATAATTTGGGGCGCTACCTCTAGAACATGAAAAGGATTTCCAATTTTTCTTTAGAATGACTCACACCCAGTCATTCTAAGTCATAGATACAGTCTTTATTCCTCTTTTCCTATTTAGTAAGTCATTGATAATGTTGTGCTCCTAAATTGTTTAAGACCCTGGATTTCTATTTCATGTTAACCTGTTTCCAACTAGTTCGTGACATTATCATGAGTCAGAAACTATTCGACTCCTCTGTAAGCAGAAAACCTATAAGGCAGTTAAGAGAGAGTGACAGAAAGAGAGAGAGAAGGAAGGAAGGAAGGAAGGAAGGAAGGAAGGAAGGAAGGAAGGAA